CTGAAGGCCAGGTTTAGGGTTTAGGGGTTTAGGGGTTTAGGGGTTTAGGGCTTAGGGTTTAGGGTTCAGGGTTCAGGGTTTAGGGTTTAGGGTTTAGGGGCAGAGATCTGCTGAATCTGCAGAAGCAAAATAGTAGTTTCCATTTTATTTTCTATTCTATTTCATTATCCGATATCCCAATATAACCCCAATATACTATAGTAATTCCCATTGTATTTTCCATTATCCCAATATAACCCCAACATACTATAGTAGTTCCCAGTTTATTTTCCATTATCCCAATATGACCCCAATATACTATGTAGTAGCGTCCATTTTATTTTCCATTATCCCAATATAACCTCAATATAACCCCAATACTACCCTAGTATACCCCCATCCTTACCCTAATATAAGCCCAATGCAACCCCAATATAACCCTAATATTTTGCAAAGAGAGGATCTTGTCGGTCAACTTCTGCCCAGTGCACTGAAGCCAGCAGAGGCAGGCGCCCAGCATCAAGGTCGGTAAGTTGGGGACAGGTCAGTGCTTTGCTTATATTAGGGTCATATTGGGGTCATATTTGGATAAAATAATGGACAATAGAATGGAAACTACTAGCTGCTGTACCTGCCAGACCATGGAAGTCAAGATCCTACCTGTCTTTATGAATCATTATTTCCGGTGCATCGTGATGGCAGGCTCGAGAGCCACCTGCCGCTGAGGCAAATTGCTATCAGTCCTTGTCACGAGGATCTTGCATTTGAATGAATTTCGAGCGTTCAATCGAAAGTAGGACAGGATTTTTCTCCAAGCTCCGGAGCTGAACCTTCCAGCTGGAGAGCTACTGTGTCAGGTTTTTTTTCCTCGGGACTCTAATCTTGTAGTTGACGCCGGGGGAGCAGTCGCAAGTCAGACTTCCAGAGAAAAGCAGGCTTTTTTGCTTTGGCAGCAGTCGAGGGAAGTTTTCAAATGGTAGTTTCCCAAAAATGAGGGACCCCAATATGGACCCCAATATATTAAGATCCTTCTTATGGAGACCCCAAAGATGGTACCCCTGATTTTAGGAAAGTTCCAAATCGTCTTTTTTGATGTTCAGGCTGCTGGCTGGGTCTTGTTGCGGAGAGCCTGGGTCTGAGAGTGATAGACCTAGACTTCACCCTGCTGGTAATATGGGTTGTTCTCAAAATTATGGGCCCCTTTTGGTCAAAGACTATACTGCGGCACCTGATAGATTGGGGCACCAAAATTGGAACCCAAATTTGGAGAACTACCCATATCCTGTAACTGTAGTGTGCAGCTTGTGGACACTTCAGGCTGCAGCTTACCGTGTCTACCGCGATTCTGACGGTGCGCTCCCCTGCACTGTGTTGGTGCAGAACTGCTTCAAAGCGAGTCCGGTGTGAGCTGTGAAATCGAAAAGTCTACGGTATGATGCTCAGCTCTGGGATATTTGAACGTGGCTCTAGCAGCATCGCGTTTGCGGTTGGATAGTCATGATGCGGGAACTGTACTACTGTACTAAACGAAGCTTTAAGCTTCATTGACTAGGGCTGGCTGCCATGCATGGGTCAGGCAGCACTTTTGCCGTGCCCGCGCCAAGCTTCACCGGCGGCTTGGTTGGCGTTCGTGCAGAGATGGAGGCCAGTCTTCCTGCCGGCTCTGGGACAGGAATGAGCTTTGATCACTTGGTGCCTAAAGGGATAGTGGAAAAGAACATGGAAACTACTAACTACTATAGGATTGTGCGCCAGTGGTGGTTCAGAAAAGCTTCGGTTTTGAAGCGCAAAGCTCCGAAGCCACTTGCTTCATTTTTGGGGGGGCGAATCGCGAAGCCACTTCCTTCATTCTTAGGGGGCGAAGCGCGAAGCTCCGAAATTACTAGCTTCACTTGCTTCAG